GCACTCACCACAGTCACCACACTGATCACTGTTGCAACTGAAGTACAACAATAGTATCGTATATTGCCCGAAGAAAACGTAGCTTAAATGAACGATCCTCGATTGAGAAGATTACAGTCATGAACTGCCCAGAACTCGTTTCTGACTACCGTAACCCAACAATCAAATGGTATCAGACAGATCTCAGCGTCGTTATCTCTATTCAATTGATCGATGTATCCGACTATTACCTCCGAATTGAAAACGGTTGTTTACAATTCAGGTAATCAGATATGGTAGAAGAAAAGAAGAAATACGTATTTGATATACATGAAACAATCCAATTTCAAATCTCGTTGCAGTACAGAGATAAACGGCAAGAAATACTACCTCATTCTATATCTGTTTGGAGCAGTGGTAGCAGAAAAGACAGTGCATAAAAATCTCGTAAGAGAAATTAAGATCTATCTTCTGAAAGCACTCAAATGTACAGTAATTTTTTCTCACCATAAAATAGCTACTTTCCATTTACACCGATTCTTAAATAATTCTCACTTGTAACATCATAACTCAGTTGAATGCGCGTTTCTTTTGCATTCTAACAAATGAGACTTTACTAAAAACTCAACTAAGTCTTTAATCTGTCTATAATCTGCACAAAATTGAGACTATGTACTTTAATAAAACTCATAAATTTGAGACTTTAAAAATGAAATTAACCTGTGTTGTCATATAATTTGAACTTTTTATCAAAGTAATGATGTCATTAATCTGAGTATAAAGTACTCATCTCACTTTAGACTCAGTTTCACTTGTGTGTAAATGAAAAGCAGCTATTATTTTTATGAAGAACAGATTTACACTTTTGTTATATTTTGTCATCTTTGTTTCAATAGGGTATCCATGGTTAAGATTGATCAAGTCCAAAGAAAAAAATCCACTTATATCATACGACTCAGAACGTATAGAAGAGACAAATCACGTTCGAAATACTTATGACAGTAAGAATAATTATTTTTATTTATATATATATATTTTTTTTAACAAGATGCTTAGCTGTTATTTGCAAATGAACAAAGATGAATTCTAAAGTCTTGTGTCTAATGCTATAACTCAAAATCTTGGATTGATTTATAACATCATGGATACAAGGTTTTAGTCCTCCAATTCTTTTTAAAGGATATAGTCGACGTGATGCTACAAAAGCTTTGAATCATTCGTTGATTGGTCAATTAATAAAATTCCTCTGATTGTTCAATTAAATATTTTAGAGCATTTGTAATGAGATTTTGACCTGCACCTGTATATTAAATTCGCACGATTAGACGCACTCAATGTTCGTTAAAATCGTATAATTGATGTAAAAATGTGTTTAATATAAATATAAAGACGAATTAAATCGTGAAATCCTCAATATATCTTATGTTGTTAAATAAAATATATATTTTATAATTAAAAATATCTGTATTTCACTCTCTTATATTCGTTAAATCAGTACCATGGTTTTAATATGCAACATTACACACTATTGCGTCCAACCGAATTTGCTGTTATTCATGTATGTTATTTTGTTTTATAGTAGGTAGATTCGAACGGTACAAACGTGAGCATAATATATCATATTTAATGCCTGTTGTGCCATCTAGCGATGAAGAAGAATCTGAGGATGATTATATGGACTTTGTTCAGTATGGTTAATATATTATATCAATTCAATTTTTTTAATGTGAATTTTTAACACTTATGTGTAAACACAAGAAATTTTTGATAATGATTATATAATTTTGATAATGACTTTTTATAGTTTCCACTGTAAATTTTTAATTATACCTTATTGTATATGTTAGGCTCAAAGATCGAAAATTCTTATAGAGCGAAAAAACCGATCATAACGCGTTGGCGTTTGAGATTCAGCCATGACATATTAAAAAAGACCACAAAGCGAAATTCGTGTGGAAATTATGGTTCTCTTGACAATCGACCAATATGCGTTTTTCAATACTAGCTAAAATGCCACAACAAAATGAATGTGTAAATGTTACAATTATTTACATATTCATTTATTCATAATAAACGACCAAATCGCGTTGTGCCATTTTAACTTAGTCAGAACGCGTTGTGAACATTTTTGAAAGGGCCACGGCACGAATTCCGCATTGTAATTAAATCTCAAAAGCCATAACACATTGTGGTCGGTTTTTTGTGAGCGTTTTCGGTCTTTAAATTTAACATCTACAGTATATATTACCTCAACATATTTTTTGATGTTTTTTTATAAGATTATAAAAGAGTTTCTTGTGACAAACAATGTTATTGTAGAATGTAAGATCTTGTATATAATAGAGAAAATATTAGGAATAAATATTAAATATTAAAGAAATAAGAAAATTAGAATTAAAAATGCTCGTAACAATTGAATACTCAGCGTACGCACCACAAGCGTATGAAAGAAATGTAACATAGACCAGAGACTTAATGTAAAAAGAAGAAGGATTAAAGATTAAATACATAAGGAAATATAATATATATACAGAGTGTCTCTTAAGATGGGTCGGAGCCACATTGGGGATGGAGAATGGATCAAAGGAACAAAAAATTCTTATATTATTTTGAGATACTCGCTGTAGTTTTCGAATTAGAAAAGAAAACGTCTAAGCCAATATGCGGTTAAGCCGCGCCGCGCGAATTCGTAGGACGGCTCACACTCGGCGGCAGCGGCGGCGCGCAGGGAGAGGGAAGTAGCGTTTCGTTGCCTAGCACAGTCTGACATGGCGATTCTATGTGTTTCGCCGCATTGCGCCTACATTATCCAAATGTTATTTTAGCTGAAGTTTTTTTCTTATCATTATAAATCACGTTATTTAGCACGATTAAATACGTTTTAATACAATTGTGAAATGTTAAGAGAGATGTAATTAATTAGAGCATGCATTACGCAAAGCGTATGCTGATCGTCGCCTTACCTTTCCGCTTGTTTTATTATACGATGTTTCTATTTAATTATGCTTCGAGACACACTTCGTCGGAGCTATCGCGTCGTTTTATACTATATTTAGTTAGAGTTTTATTTTTTGTCATATTAATGCATGTACACTTGAAATTATAATATAAGCTCGCGTAGATAGCCGCTACATTGTAAATCCAGATATATTATTTTTCCATAATGACACATTTGACTAAGGTTTTTTTCACATGTTTCTTGCCGTTTAACAAGTTTAATTGTACCATTAAAAACGTTCTTAAATTTTATTAAGCTTTAATGTTCACTGATGAATAAAATTAAAATTTTCTTTCACTGAAAACATTATTTATGTATATGTTAATGAGATGTTTAAATTTGTAGTAACTGAAAACTTAAATGTATGAAAAACTTGAAAAACACTAATTGAAAATTGAGTATTTTAGTTTATTTTCATTAAATTATCCATCAAATTTAATGCCCATGTTCATTACATTAAAAAAATTTGTAACTTACAAGGAAAGGGACTCAATTGTCCCTCTCTGATTTTAATGAGCAGTATGTTATTCTCCAGACAAAAATAAGCGACATGCTATTTTTCTTATACGCACTTTTAAAGGGTGAAACACTCCTTGAAAAAAATGATTTTTCTCTTTTGTAGCGAATATCATTGAAAAAAATCTCTTCTTTCTTCTCTTTCGAAGCGAATGTCGCTGAAATTGTAAGAGATAGAAAAAAATTTTCAGAAAATAGAATGGCGTCGTATAATAAAGCAAGCGGAAAGGTTCGCGACGATCAGCATACGCTTTGCGTAATGCTCTAATTAATTACATATCGCTTAATATATTTATAATTGTGTTAAAACGTATTTAATCGTGCTAAATAACGTGATTTTTAATGATAAGAAAAACTTCAGCTAAAATAACATTTTTGGATAATGTAGGATAATGTTGCGCGATGCGGCGAAACACATAGGATCGCCATGCTAGGCAACGAAACGCTACTTCCCTCTCTGCGCGCTGCCGCTGCTGCCGCTCGAATGTGGGCCGTCCTACGAATTCGCGCGGTTTAACCGCATATTAGCTTAGACCGCATATTTCTAATTCGAAAACTATAGCGAGTATCTCAAAATAGTATAAGAATTTTTTGTTCTCTTTGATCCATTCTCCGCCTCCAATGTGATCCGACCCATCTTAAGAGATACTCTGTACAATATA